TTTCTTTGTGATTTTTTGAATAATTTCCTAATTAACATAGCTATCTAATGATATATATATATATATATATATATATCGTTGTTCTGACAAGGTTTTTGTCAACTTAATTTTATGCTTTACCTGGTGTACTGTACAAACGTGTTAGACCAAGTTGGCTTACTTGAATATCTGGGCTACCTGTTCCTGCCATCTGGATGTTTCAATATGTTATCAATTTTCTTGTTTGTTTTAACACATCATTATGCCTATTAGTCGCATAACCTATTCAGGTGCGTTTGTGAAAGGTTTACGACATTTCGCTGTTCACATTACTAAAGAGCCCAATCAGAAACATCGTGGTTTCTGACAATATGCATCGAAAAGAACATATATTAATCAGATGTTGATTCCTGAATCGCTAACATCCAACTGGAGACCACCCAATATTTATCACAAGGATCAATTAAGAAATAAGAAAAGGAAACTTGTTGAAGTACTTTGTGCTGAGAATTCTATATTGTAGCAAAAATATAATATTGAATATAGCCACTAATAATAATAATAATTTAGTCGACAGGACAAAAATCAACCAAGTAACAGATAAAATTAGTTAAGAAGCTTTTGTGATTATTATCATTGCGTAGAGCATTATTGATCGACATAGATGTGTGTGTGAACACTGAAGTCCATAGTTATGATTAATTTTGAAGTATATAGTTAAAATTGATTTTTGTTTGAACAAAGATACCTAAAGCAATTAGTCCCTTTTATAAATTTCGATGATGTAATAAGAAGACGGAGATTATCAGAACTATGTGATATATTAGCGCAATACATTTCGAACAATCTGATCACCTGGTAATATTGACTTATTATCCAGAGTGATTAGGTTTTGAATTGTGTTCAGATTATTATTATTATTACTCTTATTATTATTATTATTATTATTATTATTATTATTATCATCTCCTCTTACCCCATTTCCAGTCTAGTTGACCTTAACAAGTATATGTGTGATCAGATTGTTCGAAATGTATTGCGCTAATATATCACATAGTTCTGATAATCTCCGTCTTCTTATTACATTATCGAAAGATACCTAAATAAACTTGCATCATAGCCTGTAGTTGTCTCTTACGTGTTAACTTTCACTTCAGACATCAGTATTTATATAATGAAATCGCTATCGAGTTATTACTAAAATGTAGTTTGATATAGTTAACTTACTGCAATCATCTAGTATATTTACTTTATCACAAAGTACATGTACGAAAAGCATTTTATGGACACAGTGATTGACAAATGAATTTGCCATGGCCGATATATTTTTTAAAGTAGTTAACTTATGTCACATTTAAATGTTCTAAAACACCGGTTTCTGTTACTTATCAATGTTATAGTGGTAAGATTAGTAGTTTATCATCCATATAGCCTAGATTTTACATATTTATAAAACAAGACGGAAAGTCTCAATATTCTTTCGGCTGTCAAACAGCAATTATGTAAATCAGTTAAATAAAGTCATTTACTCAGTATGCAATTTGTTATTTTACTGAGTGGCAAAACTGTTCAATAATAAGCTCAGTTCCATATAGTTTTTACAAATCTAAATACTCACGACCTTTTCATTCTCTGTTTATGACTTATTTTACTCCCCAGTGTATTAATGGTCAATAGTGTCATGTTTCTTTCTTCCTGTTTTTGTCAAAATCTGAATAGACCCTACTCTATTTTGAAATATTTTCAGAAATTGTTATAATGATAAAGATTATTTGTACCACACTTAGTCAGTTTAACGTTTTACCACACAATATTTTTTCACTCGAAAATTATTCTGATATGTATTCACCCTAAAAATATGTATGATGACTTTTTAATATCTGGTGAAATAGAATAATCATAAAATATTTTAGGCACACTTATTAAGTTTACATTTATGAGTTTCAGCTGGACAAAATACATGAGTGCCATAGTTCTCATGTGTCAGTAGGTTACTGCGCACACTCAGATTCATAGATGAATTATGGGATTCAAATTGATCACATATTCCTTTTATTTTTGATGTGGTTTTAGGCTACTTAAATTTTGCTAGTAGTACAACTATCTCCTCAACATTATTTAATTTCTAAGACTATATGAAATTTAATTTAATGCCTAAGCTGTGAAAAAGCACGACGAATTATATATGGGGACTTTTAGTAGCCAAGTTTGAACTTAATTTATTCGCTACACAATTTGAGTCCACCTACAGAAACTTAGTTTTCACACATGTTTTATATCATTCATCGTGATTTAAGTCAGACAACAATCGAAAACGAGGAAGGTCTGGACACCTATTTCGTTTTTCTATGGAGATCCTTATTATCGTGCATCCACAACCTCACTAAGAAAGAAACACAAAAACTCTTGGTTCTCATAGTCAGAGCTTAACCTTTGAAACAATCAACCAAGTCATGTTCTTGTTACATATAATGTATGGAAAACATTTGTGGAAATAAATATGCTAGGTGAAACGATCATGAGCTAAAAGATCTTACAAAATATTGCACCTAAAATCTCATCAAAAATACCGGTAGGTGTTGGTTTCTGATTTATGTTTGCGATTATAACGTTAAAAGTCCGCTATTCTAAATATGATGACTGTTATCGTTAGTTAGTTAAAATGGGTTTTAATCAGCATTTGTAGTATCTCATAGCTTTTTGGAAATATGTATCAGAAAAGATTTATTTTCGAGGACTATGATGATTTATGCACTTTTTTAAACGGTTTAATTTAAGAGAAAACATGTCAGCATAGTAAAATCGGAAAAGGGTATTCGGTTGGAAAGATAACATATTTCATTTAAACATTGCTTCTTTTCTTTTTGTTTAAATAATCAGGAATGTAATTATTAAAATATCGTCTCATCAAATCTTGTAAATTCAGACTTTCCAGAGTTTTTGAACGTTAGAACCTGGTGATTTTTTTTCTGAACAGGTCATTAAAGCGCTTCAGTTATTTCGTATATATTCATAAATAAGGTAAATTATGGCTTAAAGAGTGACATATTTAGGCTAGAATATATTATTATAGTGTTTCCTACTTTATTGTAATATTTCCATTGAAATAAGTAAATAAGAAAACGGTATACGAGGAGATTTGACAATAATCAAGTTCATGTTTTGAATTATTCACAGATAATTAACTAGAATCTGTTGTGATAATACGCACTTCCATTAATTTTCTATTACTCAATATATTTATGTTTTAAAGCCAATTATATTCTTAAGCGAATTCTTTTATAATGTCCAGTTGAATTTACATTTGTTGTTCAAATGAGCCTACATTTAGAATAGACTATAATCAAGGTGGGTTTATGTTATTGTAGTCTATCATCTTTTAATATAATGTCAAATTACATTCAAACCTTTATGAAATCTCATGTATAAAAATTTTTAATTAGGCATTTATTAATAATTTCATATCCTTATTCAGTTATAATCTTCTGTAGTAAACTGGGTTCGTCTAATTGTGTCTACGAGTTCAACTTTTCATTTGTTATATATATATATATATATATATATATATATATATATATATATATATATATATATATATATATATCTTACAAAAATTAACTACATTTGTAAAATATCTCTAAATTTCATAATTTGTAATTTATTATAGCTTTAACCTTGAATCAATTGTTTGCATAAATCTCAACTTCATTACTTTTATATATCAAATCAAAAATGCCACAATCTCTTAATCATATTTTAAACAAGAGTGTTTTTTAATAGAAATCTAATTTAGTAAATAACAAGTTTATTAATAAATAATAAATAATACATTAGACAACTAATGATCTCAATATATTTTACAAATTTGATTTTTTCTATCTACTTTTTAAAAGTAAACCGAATCCATTGATATAATTAATAACAAATGTTCTAATATATTTCAATTCCTGAAGTTTAGATACGTATCTTAAAGTATGGATTGGCAAAGACTGGATAGCATTCTTACAATAGAAGAATATAAAGAACTCAAAACAACCTCCAACTAATATCAAAGTCAGAATCTTCAATACGAATGTCAAGATGTAATTGTGCTATGATTCTTTGTGGATTTCGTAATCAGTTGGTGGGTATAGGTTGAGTGGGTGATTAGCCCGATCTCTACCACCCAGGTTACCGCTCACGTTAGTTCATGTGACATTCGTCTCACTATCCAGGAGGCACGACGCGGACGTGTGAGTCGGATTTTGCCAAGATAGTGAGTTATATTGTACGGAGCTAAAACGTAGAGAATTACTACAACTGTCATCGAAAAAGTACAAGTATTTATAGACAATTGTCTACGAGAGATATCCAATGTTTGTTAACTGGATACCATCAGCAGCATCCTACTGTAGAAGAGAACAAGTCAACTTCCAGCTGGAGAGGAAATTAGGAAAAGATGTTCGAGGTAGATAGGACATACATTGCGGGAATCATCAAACTGCATTTCGAGACAAGCCGTAACTTGAAAATGAAAACGAAAGGAAGAAAACCAAGAAACATATTGTATCTGCAATCGGAGGCAGAGATCAAAGGAATGAATAGCATTTGGAAACAATTGAGAAATATTGCCCAAGGAAGAGTTAGGTGAAGGATCCTGGTCATCCGTCTGTGTTCTAAAAGGAGTAGCAGTCGTAAGTAACTTGAAACATAATCAAAATCATAATAGTAAGAATAGGATATAAATTCTATGAGTAAACATAATGAATCTGCGATGTTTGTATCAAGTGACAAACATGTTGTACATAATTACACAATTTTATCTGTACATATTTCAAGGAAATACATGTGCATGAGTTCATGGTGTTTTCTAGCCTTTACAATCTAGGACACTTGTAGCTTGCAGATTATGATTATGCAAATATGACTCACTTACACACACACACTCCCTCGATAATTCAAGCTATAAACCTTGACAGAACAAAAAAGCTCACTTTTTCAACGATGAATTCAATCTAATTTATCTTAAAGTGTAAAATACCTTAAACTTTTAATGTTTTATTAATAAAAACACAATTTGTTTTTCTATAACAAAAAATGGAGAAATAACACGAATATGTTTGTTTGTTTTTTAAATCATAAATAAGATCTTATATATTGGTATCATAACAACAGTTATATCCATTTCAATGACTGGTTAACTAATATAAAGATAACATTGATCCACTTATGTTTCTGTTATCTGTTAAATAAATTAAGATGAAAGAAAATAATGATAATCATAATAATATTGTTTAAATGAATTTCAATAAAATGTTTTGCATTGGATTGAAATTTTGTAAATAGAATAAATTCATATCTACATTAATAAATATGTTCCATGTTTTAATTATTACCATTGGAAAGAACAATAGAGATAGTATGGTATGTGCTACTTATGTAGACATCAGTAGTATATGATGTTAGTCGTGAACAGAATGTGTGGCAGTAGGGAGACAAGAGGATCGAACAGTAAAGAATGGAAACAGAATGCAATTTGTATAAAAATGCAAAAGCATTGAAGTCTGAGTTATTTAAAGACAATTGATGGACATTTTGCAAATTAAGCATTTACTTTATGATTCTCAGATTTTATTGACATGCTCTGTAATTCTGATTCCCTATACATTCGATTGTCCCCACTGGTGTTTTTGTTCAATACTGTAGTATAAATAGAATAATATATTTGTAATATCAAAATGAATAGAGAAATTAAATTTTCCGAGCTTTCGTAACTCAATGTAATATATTTCTTCAGAGAATCAATATTACAAATGTATTAATTTATTTATAACAATCTATTCAACCATGGTAATGATACCTGCAATAATGATAGTGATTAGTGAATAATGAAATAAAAGGTAATAATATAAGAATTATTTATGTCAGTCTTTCATTTTTTACTGGTCAAATTGTATTAATACAAGTTTAATGCGTTAAGAAATGATAATTTAGTTTCATAACAATAAACAGTAGTTATCATACAATCACATGTACATTCAGTATTATCTTCATTCATTTTGAAGTAATTAACGTTGCTTCAGGATTGGTTTGCATTGACACCTGAACTAATGATAGGGAGTGAAGTAGTTGAACGTGTCGACCGCTTCACTTATCATGGAAGTCTCATCAGCCCTTGAGGTCTAGTGTGTGACGAAATCTCAGCACGGATACAGAGAGCTCGACTAGCTTTTGCCAACTTTCGTCATTTTTGGCTTAGGCGAAATATCCGTCTACCAACCAAAGGACGGGTTTACTGCGCAGCAGTCTTAAATGTAATATCTGTTTGAAAATTTTAAAATTGCACTGAAGCACTATGACAAAGACTGAAAGTTAGACATACATAATGATTGTGGATCAGTTGTTTATAGGAACGTTGAAAATATCTGGATGATGAACTATTAGTTTATCAATAATTACAGTGTTATCAAAGATTGATTTGTTATAAAGAAATACCTGTAATTCATTTTGAAAGCTATATTATAAGATACATTTCATTGACAAGAATTTTTAGAAATAGTTGATAGGAAAGCAAATTTTTCGGCCTCAAACAATTGGAATAACTATTTAGTTTAAATTCACTTAGTATTGTTTACTTAAATCTTTCCATTGATGTTTAGGACTGCAATTGATCAGTACCTTAGTTTAATTCTAATTTTAAACAAGAAATATTATCCATGTTCACGTATAAATTTTTGGAGAAATATTCACTATGAGCTGAAATCTATTGAAAAAAACTGTGGTATGGTGAGATCTTAGTTTCGTGGTTTGGCTAATTATATGTATTTACAGATCTAACTATTTATTTACAACTCTACAGCTAAAAATATAAGTTGATTGGAAAAAAACTTCGATTGTTTAACTGTTTAACCTACTTTTTGAGAGTTTAATAAATTTGCTAATTTTATCGCTTCTGGACGTGGTGGAACAGACATTACAAATGGTACTACATTATCGAACGATCCAAAAGTAAGCGTTTTGTCAATTTCAGATGCCTGTAGCAGATCTTTAAAGAGAAACAGTAGCTAATTTTAATACATCAAAGTAAAAATGACCATACAGAAAAAAAATTAGATGTACTGTTTTAAAATTCAAGGAAAACTACGCTAAACATCTTAACGAAATATGATTGCAAAAGCAGTTCTCTTCATGAACTAACATTGACTGGAAAAGCAACATTTTCTACCTATTTGGAACCCATAACCCAAATAACATGTCTGTTGGGTAAATGAAACTATTCTCAGATAAATAAGTTCAACATTACGAAATTTACGTGCAGAATGGTTCTCTTTTAAATACTCCTCTATGTACAACAATGTTTTTAAACAGTTACGTTTAGAAATATTTCGATTTAATATCGTATAATAAAGAATGAAAAATCGAGCAAAATATTAAAGTCAATGATATCAGGTAGACCTTCCTTAAGTTTCAACTCTTAGGTATAATTTACATTTAGTTATGATAGTTCCAAATATAATCACGATAACTAGCCTATTCGCATGATAGTTTGTTTATAATATTACTTACCACCTTCATTTTCTTCAATCACTTCATTCTTTGAATTCCTAGTTCATAAAAAGATATAAATTTTGAGTGAATTCGTAACATACTTCGTATTAACTTTGATTTCATTTAATTGTTGATTTATAATACTATCTAATTGTAAATTGATAAGAAAAATATTCATAACAGAATATTTACCTTCTTCATCCGATAATAAGATTTGTGTTTCAGACAAAGGTACAACAGATTCATTTATTTCACTTACAGTGGGGTTAACTGATTCTTCTAAACTTATTTCTGAAACAGTTGAAAGTCGAGCTTCTTTAAAAAAAGATAACTGGAATAAAAATGTGTTTACCCGAGAAATTGGAATCCAACACTGTCCTATCACTTAAAAATAAAGATAGGGAGTATAACAAAACAAAATAAATGAACAGCAATCAATAAAGCTAAGAAAATTTTCTATTTTTAATACGTTGAAAAGTATTACGTAACACATGAGAAATGCATGTTTAATGAACCATAAATGCATTCATAACTGCCATCTTATCTCAATCAACCTTTCATGAGCAAGACCAACCAATATTACTCTACATCATTGGGGCGTTTTGTTTATGATATAAATCTAAAAGCAAATAGCTTAGTTCTTTAATTAGACTAAAATTGCTCACACTTACAGATTTATATTTTCATGCATACTTGTATGAAGCACTGATTGGCTTATTTGATTTCACTTACCACAAATTCTCGTTATATAAACACATCATAACTTATCAGCTATCAATCCTTTAAAGTGAACAGCAAATTTTGGATCTAATTATGAAATGAAGTTAAGTAATTTAGTGATAAAAGCAAATGATTCGATGAGTCCAGCTCTGATTATTTTACTATTGTTTATATACAGTAGAGTTGTGATTACCATCATGAAGTTTCTCTTTTAGATCTTTCATCTATTTATTTCATGTATATCAGTCAAGTGTGAGGAGAAATTTACTGACGTAGTAATCATATCGGAATTAAACAGGTTAGTTTTTATTCTCAAATTGTCAATATTATGCAAAACAATTGAATTTACTCGTGATGTTTATTATGTTAAAGAATATATTGTAGTATTACGTAACTGAAGATGTTTTTTTCAGGAACCTACTTTATTTACTGAACCATTGTAATGATTACCAAATAAATGTATTCAAATTTGTTTATAGTTAAAAGGAGAATATATTGGCTGTATTATAATGATAATTTCAATGATTACACAATATAAATTATAAATAATGAATAAACTTCATTTAGAATGAAAAATCTGTATTTAACCAAACTTAAATGGATAAAAATATCATATTAAACAGTGTTATTTTATTTCATTTCATTATGAGTATCTATGGATATATTAAATAATACTAACAAACATTTGAAATGAATCTATACAAATTTTAAAGGAATAAAAGGTTAAATTACCATATTGATTTATCTTGATGTGATTTTTCAGTTTTGTTTATTTTTGACTGTGGAAATTCTAGATCATCGGTTTGTACTTGTGAATCTTTCTTTTCTTCAAATTCTCTCTATAAATGATCAGAATCAAATACGAAACTCATTTAAATCAAACTTATTGACGTTAACAAATATTGTTTACCAATATAACAATTAAATAGCTGAATAAAATTTGAAAAGAAGAGATTGTTACTGATATTTGTTGGGGAGATCCAGAAAACTACTCGAAAAAAGCCAAGAAAGGCTCTGAAAACAATGAGAAACATCATATTCAACCAGCGTTCATTAGAACTTTTGCTAGAAACATCTAGAAGTTGGAAAGTCACATTTTGAGTTTCTGATTGGATGACTACTATACTGCTATTATGCTTAGTAGCATTCTAGAATTTTCGGGAAAACACAAGGACATCTAAAATACTATAAAAACCCTATATTTTCTGTACATAAATGAAACTTTGGAGTAAAGTGTTTCTTACATACTTTGCACCTTTTCTCTCGTGTTCAATTTGCTGTGTAGTTCTAGCCTGAGGGTTACTAGAAGAGCATAGGAACCAAATATAGCGTTCAATTAGCAAGACTTATCAATACTTTTTAGTAGCTGATATCTATTTGAATAAAACGGTAAACAATTGAACTGTTGAGAAAAACCAAAAAAGGATTTAATGCTTATTCATCATCAGTAGTGAAATATAAGGGTTGTGTAAAGAAAATCACAAAAGCATCTAACCATTTTAAATCTATAATATATTATTCTTTCAAATTAATTTTTACACTGTTATAAATATTGATTACTTCCTAACACCATAAGATGTCTTTAGAACACGTAATCGACTACAATCAATTCATTTTATCACTACAGTACTAAGCAAAATTGAGAAATTTCTAAAATGTTCACTGAGAACATTTAATGAACACATTAACCATATGTGTACAAGTTAGTTCCATTACTTGCATAAGTTGTAATATTTACATTAAAATTAATGGCTCTTATTCAAAGAAGTACGTTTGGTTACAATGGCGAATCCTCAGAATAAATTATATGCAACATTTGTGTAAATTGAATTTTAAAATATATTTCATTCAACGGTAGGGTAAAAAGTCTTGGATTGAGTTCTTCGTGTAACTGTAGATGCGGAATGTTGAAGATTTCCGTGCTGGGATAAAAAGCCTGTAAAATGCTATCTAAATTTCTGCATTTCCTTAGCTAAAGTCAATCGGCGATGCAAAACTACAAAAAATATGATAAAATGTATTCAAACAACTTTTGCCTGACGTTCTCTTTCAGTCATATGGGTTTTTATAAATCACTACTACGTACAACACATTCAATTAATGAGTTCCAGTATATTCTTTTTTCCCTCAATAGACATAAACTATTATGTTTCAAAAATTATAGGGTTTTCGACTATATTTTCCAATATTTAGCATCACAAAAGCTTCCTAACTTTTTCAAAAGAGTGTGGGTACATAAAATTATTTAAAGCAACCATTAATATGTTAAAACATGTATGATATGAGAAAATATACTATAATAATAGCATAGTTTTAAAATAGGCTGTCTAAAACAGTTAACAGATCGCCGTCACCGTATAAATTTAGCTCTACTTTTATGGATTTATTCACTAGCAAACCTTTCGACATTTGCACAAAAATATTGCATTTAGGGTAAAAGGGTTTTATAAATTGTATGTAGTCTATAATAATAAAGCTAACAAATAAAAATACAGATGTGAAATACCAAGAAAGATCGATTAAGATTAACTTACAACAAACGCATTACTAAACTATATTGAAGTCTAGAGGTTTTTGTAAGATATACTGGGATATTATGTTGAATACTTGAAGCTGGTTAACATAAATTATATGGGTTTAAACGCTATACTCGGTAGAAATTTGCGATATGACATATCTGAAAGCTTTAGAAAGTTGATGGATCGCAAACCTGACTGATAAAATTTGTTGAAGAAATTATGATAGAGTTTCAGTTGTATGACCCAACTGGAAAGCACTCAAGGAGAGATACATGCTTAAAAAGATAAGTAGTATGAGATTAGAATAACCGAAATAAATTCTAATGTAAGGAATAAAACAACTCTGTGAAGTCTGACTTAATGAAAGCTTACTTGTGATTTCTCTGTTTTGTAAGATATTTGTTTAGAATTGCTAATCATTGGTCTCGGTAACCAGTTAACCATAGCAGTGGCTTGTAGGATAAATGTGTATAGAAATATAAAGCACCAACAAATCAACAATATTCCAAGAAAACAAATAGCAACTATTCCAATGATCCATATAAAATCATCTTCTTTTTCATAAGCGCCTATATCGTAAACTAGTAAAATAATGGATTTCGAGAGGAGAAGCTTATGTGGTGTTTTAATTATGACAAAATACTTTTTAACAAAATACTTAATCAATCAACTGATTGTACACGAAAATGACATCACCTCTTTCAGCAAACACTTAGTTCTAGTATACAAGATAAATGGTTTAAACGCAATTTGTGTTACAAAGTTTCATTTATTTAAGTGTGCTTGAGCATTAAGAATTACTAAACGCATTTTGTATCCTGTTTTGATACGATTCCTCATTAATTCATCGTTTTCATTAATTTTGATAAAAATCTTAATTTTTTTTAGCAAAGTTATCATCTTGATCATGCAAACTGTTCAACTAATATTTTTTATAAATGCGCTTACTAGATAAGAATTTTATTGTTTCTATTCTGTCGTTCTGTTAGCAACCATTGTTTTATTGCTCGTATTTTCCTTTATTATTTCTTTACCCTGTCGCTCATATATATATATCTATATATATCACATAAGCTTTCCTGAACCAACTGTGTTTGATAAAAGAGCGTCACTAATTTAGCCATCAAAAATGATCACCACTCCATAACTTTTCATTTGTCAGTCAAATGTAAGTTAATTAATGTAGTGTAATTACCCATGACCTTTTACAAGAATTATCATCAAAGATAGTAAAGATTACGTGTTTAAACACAAATTACTGGTTAATTGAACGTGGTTCTCCTGCCGTTCTATATAAAACAATGTTTAATTTAATACCGACGGTAGTCATAATCATAGATGAGCAAATGTTGTTGTTGGTAATGATTCTGCGTAGTAATACAAATAATGATGAAACGTTCGTACTCAAATCATTATGAAAATAGTTTTAGATAACCGTCTTACACTAAGAATCAACTAATTAATGAAACGTTACCATCCCGCTGATATAGAGATTACCATAGTTCTATTTATAATGAATATCCAAATTTACTTCTCTTTGAACATATTTTCATTACAGAGAACAAATATGGCTAATTTGTTTCTGTCAACTTTGTCTCGGAAAACACCGATTTATATTCGCAATGTTGCTTACTATAACAATGTTGAGTTGTATACTAATAACAAGATGGTCACATAAAAACTTCTTGGTTAGTGCAGCAGGCATTAATGACTTAGATCTCAAAGCCCGTCAAGCTTTTGAAAAAAACGTACCAGTTTGTTGTGTTAAAATATGTGGCTAATATATGCCAATTAAAGTAAAAGCCTTGTAGGTTGAGGATTATGTGTTAAACGATTTAATTCACAAAATCGAATGTACCTGCAACTCCTAGACTGATTAAACTTAGGGGAACAAGCAAGTAATTCAGAATCAGTGATGACTTTTTGAAGACATGTATTCATAAAAAGTGACTGAGTACTCTCTGGAGAACCGTAATAAATGTTTGTTAGATTGCACTATATATTGTGAGTAACCAAATAAATAAGAGGCACCTTTAGGTTTTTCTATGACTGGCATTCCCAAATAAACTGCTAACCAGTCCACCGGCATCTGATTGAGCTGGTAAACAATAGAAGGAGAAGGTTGGAAGAGATTATTTCGCTGTACGTAGAAAAATATCTTCAAATTTGATCGAGGTTCATCTCTCTCTATGTAATCAACCTTTGAAAATTCAGATAGATAAGCACAGAAATAAAAAAAGAATTAAGTTTGTGTATTCGATATAGCCTCTTTATTCATTGCCAGTTACTTACAGGAACATCGTGTTTATTATTAAGGAGAATATCAAGCTATCACATTAAAAACGTAAATTATTATGTAAATTACTAGTAAACCTTGTAGTCAGTTTTAAAACATTGATAATAACATCCACTCATTAGGAAGCTTGAGTCAGTTTTTACGAAATATTGCTTTGTAATAAATATGATACATCTACTAAAAAAGTGATCGTAATAGGATAGAGATATTCTGACTAACTTTTTCATTTTAACAAAGCCTATGAAATTTTTAATATACATATACTTTCGAGGACTTACTATAGTTATTGACCAATGGATGACAAATTTTATTCCTCATTTGGTTTATTTACTTCCTCATTTGTCTGCGAATCGCTTAGTATTTTGACTGGATAGGCAAACAAATACTCATCTGGCTTTGGTTTACTAATTAAAGACGTTGTTCAGTCTTTTATAGCTTTAGCGCAAACCTATTCGTATTTGCATATGAGAACATACACTCACTAAACTTTATAACCCTAACTAATACATAAATATTTCCAAAAATACGTTTTAATTTGTAAAGCAATAGACATCATTGGGCGATTTCGACAAAGTTTAATTTATAGAGATTTATGTAATGCTTGGAAGATTAGACAGCTTCGTGAAACGCGAAAGACTTAAGTCAGGTCCAAGACACGCTACAGTCATTTCAAAATGCACTGTTGTCAATGTCTTTTCAAAAGGAATATTTTACCTATAAAATCTAAAACATCGAAGTATATATATATATACTAGTAATTCGAAGGAACAGGACTTTTCTTTGATTATTTTAAGGTGATTACTTAAAGTTTCGAACTGTATTTACAACATTGAACATGAGCCGCTCACGAGATTTGGTCATATAAAATAACTGTTCATCTGCCGTACTACGGCTTAACCACCCCATCAATGAATTGAAAGTGAGCAGTTATAAATTTAGAGTCCATACTGAGTAGTATTTTTCGCATGACACATCAATGAATCTAAAATCCTTCTCAATTACTTTCAGTTCATATTTAAAGTATTATGAAAATAATCAAGACCAAATGTAACCAGTTCTAAGTCCAAACAACAAACAATCATCTTAGTGGCCTTCTGATTTACTGAAGAAAACCATTTAAAGTTCTATGTTTAAAAGTAAAGCTGTACACAGAATTTATATAATCTATGAACCGCATTTATATATGCTTCTATAAAAATCCAAAAATATCCATCGATTAACTTACCACGACAGAGCTGTTTTCAGTTTCAACCAGACTGAAGGATTCCGAATACGAAATTTTGGTACTTTTAAGTGCTTCAGAAATCTTAGATTCCCATATTGTTTTATTCATCAAAGATTCATTTTTGTGAGGAGGCTGAGTGGACAAAACTACAACCATTTTTGACTAAAGTATCAAGTACCCATAACAATCCAGAAGACAGATAAACGAGAAGGTTCCACCGAATAACTCAGTAATGGTCCGAGCGACAGTAAACATACAAAAGCTAACTTATTCATATTCCCTCCTACTCTATGCGAACGAAATAAAAAATGAACAAACAATTTAAACAAAACATCTACTAACATGAATTACAAGAAAGAACAGGATAAAGAATAGCAAACTTAAATTTTTCATGATTCTTAATCTGAGAAGTTTTGTTTGCAGTAATCTGAAAGTATACAAAGAACAGTGTATATTGAGCTGATGTAAAGCGTTTGACCACTTCTCTACATTGTTTTCGTAAGAAGAAACAGTTTTAGATCTTTAATAGTCATCCCGTACTTTCATTGAAGAAAATAATGTGTAAAATTTGGCTTGTGCTTTGTATCATGCTTAATTCAATAACCAATGTATTTGTGGCAAGTTTGCCTAAACAGATTGATTTACTTGCACTTGGTTCTTACTACTTCAGTATGGTTCCATATCTTTGCCAACGCTCAACAGTAGGTAGCCTAGCGACTCGGTTACATTAATTCTTGTCAATTTGTTTGCAAATTGTGATTTTGTACATCTTTTAACGATAAATGAATCCTTGAAATAAATAATTCTTTAAGCTGCCAATATCAACAACGACCTCATTCAAATGAGTTCATTTGACTCCGTGCTCTCATGTTTCTGAATTCCAACAACTACCACATTAGCAAGCAGTATGTCAACTGGTTTCAATGTGAATGACATTAAAAAAAAATTAGAATACTAAGAAAAGGTGAATGTTTCTAAAAACTGTTAAACTAATGACCTAATTAGATAGTAAAAACAGTGTGAGAAGACCAAAATTTAGGCTTTATTATAAAACGAAATTGCAATTATCGAGAGCGAAAGTAGTTACTGATATATGCATATAATTACTGTTATTATTTGTGATGCATGCATCAAACGTAGCTATTCCAAGGGAAGATGTTGATCCATGGGTTGGTCAAGTAGTCTATTAAGACTGTCTACTGAGTAGGTTGTTAAGTGCTTGGCCGAGAGATCATGACACGTGAAAGCATCTCTTATGGACAAAAAATTGAGAGCGTACCCAGGAGTTTGTTTCGGACGTTTGAGTTTTAGGAGGTTGCCTCAACGAGTGTGATGATGAAATTTTGATTAAATAATCGTGTTGAAATAGCCTTGCGTAACTTATATGTTTTATGTCATTATCAAATCACCTCTTATTTACATTAAGGATAATCCGGAGCATTGGAACCTATTTTCGTATGACTTCCTCTCTAGCCCCATCACTTATTTAGATGTCTGTGTCTGTACGTTGGCGAGTAGAGTGGTTTAAAATATTGTGGACTTTAAGGTGAGTTTTAATATATGATTCTTTTATTGTTGTAAGGTCCTTTAGAATCTCCATCAAATTCCTTTCCGATTATATAGTCCATCAGATCTTCACACCGTCTGGTCAGATCAGTGCTGCCGAGCCTAATTAATCTAACGGCAGTTAATAAACATCAATGCAGAGGTTGACCAACGAATATTTTTTTGAAACCATTGATTCTGTGACCTTCCAACTCGTGTGCACATAATTATTAGAAGTATGTAAACTAAACTGGTAATTTCCGAATTAATTCAATATAAAACATGTAGATCTAGGTGAGCGCAAACAAACTTAGTGTATTTGGAGTTCAGGCACACGTCGAGTACAAAGGAATAATTGATTCATACAAACACCACAGTGCACTCTATTTACCTTGTCGCAAAACAACTTGTACTTGAGGTAGTTATGGTTCCAAGAGTGAAGTCAGTTAGTGATATTCAACTTCGTGAGAAACTGTATCGAAGGCTATTTAAGTCATGGAATATCGCATTGATCGATATCTTCAAGTCCAACTGTTCGCTTGGCTGTTCCATCCGTTGAGAAGATTAGACGCTCAGAAAATTCTTCGTCTAAACCCATGTAAGACTTCATATTGCTCTGATCTGTGTATTACTCTATCTATTCACTGACCAATTTTGCTATTATCTTCATCGTAATTGGGAATAGTGCTACTAGTCTATGGTAGACTGTAACTTTCCTATTTCCTCCTTTGAACACTCAAGAAAGAGTAGTATGTTTCCATGCTTTTTAAAGTTAATGTGACTCTTTTGAATCCCTGAGTTGTTTCCACACTGGTGAACCAATGACTTCCGTGCACTGTTCCGAGACTTCAGGACGTATGTCCTCACCTCTTTGCAGCTTTGCTCAACGCTCGGTGTCAACCCAAGAGTCAGTTGAATATTACCAAGGATCTTAGCTAGCTCCAAAGTTGAGGGGTAGTACATGTTTTTAGCTTCTTGATTTAGAAGATCTATGAAGTTGACATTAAAGATTTCAGCTCTCTTTAATTCGACAAGATTTCTGTTGTCTAGTGCAGATCTCCTGGTTTGTATGTATTTTAAATCACGAATCTGTGGGAACATTTAGAGTTTGATTGCATTTTGATTACTTGTTTGACTTAACTTATCTCTTGTTTCTTCGAACTTTGGCGTTGCAATTGCTTATCATTATTAAGTAAGAGCCACGATCCAAATTTTTGAGGCTTTCTTTTTGTTCTGGACAATAGTTTTGTTGTGTAGCAGGCGTTCTATGTCTCATTAATCAATGGTCTTCTATGTTCAGCTGTTTGCCTTGCCTGACGCACACTGCGTTAGACAGCATCCTGAAATTTATCCACCACCAACTCTCAGTGTTCATTAACTGAGGGCCTCTGCGACTCACGTGACCACCGGGCTATTGAAAATGTTGACTCATGTTGTGTGGTCTGCCTTAGTATATACAGGGTAAAGGGCGTCCATGTCCTTTGCTAGATAGTTCATTCATAACCACGTTAAACATGACAGTAACATAGACACTACTTACCACTGGTGCGTTGACATACTAAACTAGGGGCCGATTATTCGTCCATAACAAGACATCGTTTAAGGGTTATTCGACTGCATCCCATCTCATGGCACCAACAACGTCTAATGGCCCTGGTAAGCCACTTTTGAAACCACACTGTAGGGGTTATATCATGTTCGTTGTGTCCTAGGAACGGAGTTCTGAAGTCTCTATCCAGAAGTTTCCGGTCAAACCTCAGATATGGTGGCTTTAATATCACCTGGATTATCTTGTCTTTCTGGGTATTATCACCTGTGGGATCCAGTTTCTTCTTTCAATCAAGTATTTTGTGATGTTCACGTTAAAGCAAAACAGGTGTAGTGAACAGAACACGAGTGGGGACAATCGAATATATTTAGGCACATAATTACAGAGCGTCTCACTAAAATCTGAGAACTATATATTAAATCGTTAATTCGCAGAATATCAATCCATCATATCATACTTGACAGGGAATGTTCTGTCAACTCGGCCAAATTAGTAATGTGTGTTTTTACAGCCTTGATGTGACTATTAACGTATATCCACGTAACTCCAGGCGGCCTGCTTGAATATCTGGGATACCTTTGTTGTATTTTTGCTTTCTAACTACTGTCTCATCTATTTCCACTATCAATCCAACTCCTCCAAATGATTCGTGTACTCGTGTCATTTTCATTGCGCATATATCACTGCATTATTCATACCACTGAAAGGTGGAAGTTTCCTTAGCAACTGCGAAATCCGCAGCTAATATTACTGGAGACTTTATGATCCAATTTGCAACAATTGTCATGATTTGTCTTAGCCTGAGCCGTGACCGTGCAAAGAAAGTGCCAGTTCGAGCAGATTTTTTCTCCAACATATAGTACAACGAAATATGTCATCACGGTAGGCTGCACATCGTGCTGCAGTCATTTGATTGCCGCAGTCAAAGACACAGGAACTTCTTAATAGTCCCATCTGTTTTGGTCGCTCAACAATCACCTCTTCTCTAAAATCTGCTGTAAAACGATTGAATGTGAGCATCTCGCATTGAACTTAGCGCCGTGACCTTGAAATTCCTCAAACGCTTCTGGTTGGCTCGTCCATAAATCAGAGTCCTACCGGATTTGCTTATTCTCAAACGCAACGAATTTAGCAGAAAATATATCCATTATATATTGACTGGATACTCATTTTGACTAATATTTGGAAAATCACACATGCAAAAATAAAAGACCCAAAATTATATCAAATCACATGTTGCATGTCATACTGAACTATAGTTCATTTTAATTTAATGTAAGAATATCGTATTTTGAATAATCCTCACACTAAAATAAATTAATATAATACTTCGTAAAATATTACACTGAAAATAAAACAAGCCTTACATTGAGTAATCTTAATATTACATTAAAACCAGAAGTAATGTTGGCCAAAAATCACAATGAATAAGAATGTGATTTTGCCGATTTATTCCGTCATATCAGTTTTATATATTCCATGGCATTTAGCTAGTGACATAGTTACATATGTAAAGAATTAAAATTAGAATATATTTCAAACTATGTTAACATGTTTTTTCCTACTCTGGTTTGCATAAATTAAAATTATAATATTATGTTAAATATTCTTTCTACACTGTGAAACGATGTTATTCTGCAAAGTTTTTTTCTCCAAAGTCATAATAATATCTTCTTTTGACTATATTTTATTTTCTGGGTGATTAGTTATCAGCTTTAGTTTGTATTTATTTAGTTAACAGTATAATGAGCTGAAGTATCCTTTACACAAGTTTTGTTTTTAATAGTGCTTACAACAAAATGTTATACATATAAAACTGTCTTAGAAACTGTTTGGTTTAGACAACTGAGAAAGTTATGGATGTCAGTTTCTATGTTGAACTAGTGACTAGAAATGTTATTCACTACTAGTACACCAGTTTTCTTACTATCGATTTTTTACTTATTATGCGCAGTTATGCAATCTATTTCATTGTAACCCTAAACTCATCATAAATTGTATTGATTTGTTTAATATTTTCCTATAAATTATCATGTACAATAGAGTAAAACGTGGTGGTCATCCAATTGAACATAATATCGTTTGATTATATATGTTGTTCTAAAACGTATCTGTCAAGTTAAATAAAATACGTAGTTTAATTTTGTGAAACCATTATATAATTCATTAATTATATTGTTGAGTTATTAGTTATATACA